CCAAGCCTCTCCATTAAATTTCATTTGCTTCAGTCTCTATTTAAATAGTTTCCTCTGTATACGAATCGAATGTTTCTGCTGAAATTTAAAAAAAAAACATTTTTTTTCACATTTTGTCATCTTTATGAAAATTGCTATATCTGATTTTGTATCCATGTTTCTGTTACCTTGATTACTAATAGATCAGTGATTTTTTGCAGTCTACTTAGTGATTTTGTGTGTGTGTTTGTGTGTATGTGTGGCTAAAAGTGGGAGGAAATAAGAAGCTTTGTGTTGGGAATGGAAACTTTAGGCAGATTGCCAGATTATTTTAAATGATTTCTCCAAACAATATTAGGAAATTTATCTCGGTACCATAGGACTAAATTCAAGTATCTTGTCTGAAAACAATAAAGCAACTCTGTCAGTTTTTCACTTGGTAGATTTTCCCTTGGCTTGTGAAATGAAAAATTAAATCTGTCCGTATAGATTTGTTTGCTTTCTTTGGTCTGGCCATTAGAATTGTATAAATTGCCCAGATTTCCTTTTTTTTGCCTTAACCAATAGGCAGTTAAGACAGGATAGTATTATGTTACAATTCCAGTATATATACCTGGGACTCCTAGGGGATCAGGAATCTAAATTTTGCATGTAAGTACTACTGTTGTATAAGTGATAATAATATGATTAAACATATGTGAGTACATTTAAAAGCAATAATTATTAGTAGCTTTTGGTCATTTTCTGTACTTTCAAAGAATACTAACAAATAACACTTGTCAAGTAGAGTTGTTAGAAAAGGGTCTGTATTATTTAATCATTTGGGATCCCTTTATATTTGACCTCATGTACAAATCCTCATGTACAAATCCTAATAATTGGGCAAATTATTTAATGTTTCTGAGGCTCAGTTTTAGTATTTGTAAAATGGAATAATACCAATTAGAAGGGTTGTTTTGAAAATAAAATTAGATAACCTACTGAATGAATTTCTGATGGTAAGACCCAAGGGTCTGCATTTTTAACCAGTTCCCCAGATGATGATTAGTATGTTACAGGTTCTAAAATTCTACCATATATAAAAATCACATGGATGATTTGTTAAAACACATTGCTGGGCCCCACCCCAAGAGTTTCAGATTCAGTAAGTTTAGGGTGGGGTCCAACAATTTTTATTTCTAAAAAGTTCCTAGGTGATGCTGATGCTGCCGGTCTGGGGAACACACTTTCAGACCACCTGTGTAGTATATATGATGCCACTTGGAACAAGTTAATAAAAATAGAAATAATAATTGGAAGAGTTGTTGGGCACTCATTATGTACCAGACACTGTTACGTGTGCTTTACATACATTATCATTTAATCCTCTCAATGGTCCTATGAGTGTTATTTTTTCTTATTTTATAAAGAAGGAAAGTGAGTCACAGAGACGTTCAGGAACTTGCCCAAAGTTACCCAGCTAATACACACCTGGAGAATCTGGCTACAGTGTTTGTTCTCTAAAACATTATCCAGATAAAAGGTATAACCTGATGATCATGATGATCATGCAGAATTTTTAATTCTCTTTAAAAGAATTTTTCCTAATTTAAAATTTAGTGTTTATTCTTATGTGGGTCTCAGGTCAAAGACTAGAGGACCAGGCTTACCTGGGTCACTGATAGCAAGGAAAGTTCACTTAGTCATGTGCCAGCCAGTACACCACAACCCTGTGTTCCCCTAGGATTTTTGTAGACTTGATCTTTAAATATCTTTTTTATTATTATTGATTTTTTTAAAAAAAAATTTTTTTTTAAAATTTTTTGGTGCTGGCTGGTACAATAACCCAAACCCTTGGCCTTGATGTTATAAGTACCACTTAGAAATATTTATATGAAATATTGCTTATTACATTTGTCTTCTGCCATCAAGTTCTTGGATAGAACATGAAATTATAGTTTTTCCTCCCCCTCTTCACAGAGTCTTCTGGGCCATTATGGCAGTCAAGTGGACTGGTGGACATTCTTCTCCTATTCTCTGCCTGAATGCAAGTAAAGAAGGACTAGTGGCTTCTGGAGCAGAGGGTGGAGATCTCATCACTTGGGGTGAAGATGGGACTCTATTAGGACACATCCAGTTCCAAGGGGCTGATGATGTTACTAGTGTCTTATTTTCTCACTCCCGTCCCACCAAGCTCTATGCCTCACATGGAGAAACTATTAGCATAATGGATGTCAGATTCCTCAAAAGTTCCCTGGACCAATTTCATGTGAACGAAGAAGAAATCAATTGTCTTTCATTGAATGAAACTGAAAACCTGCTGGCTTCTGCTGATGACTCTGGGGCAATCAAAATTCTAGATTTGGAAAATAAGAAAGTTAGCAGATCCCTGAAGAAACATTCCAATATCTGTTCCTCTATAGCTTTTCGACCTCGGAGGCCTCAGAGCCTGGTATCATGTGGACTGGATATGCAGGTGATGCTTTTGCAGAGAGTACTTGGGTAATTTCTAAATGGGATTTGCTAACAGAATCAAGTTATTGATCAGGCTAAATATGTCTTTGCATTTTCTGTTCTCTGCTAACATGTCATCCATTTATGAACCATAAGCTTTACTTCTATATTTAATTGTAGCCTGACAAAACCTACTAGATTTTATTAACAAAGTAATCATTAATCCTTTAGTTTTCCTTTCACTATGCTTTAAGACATTCCTAAGACCTGAGAATTCAAATGTTTGATTCAAAACATCTGTTTAAACAAAGGGACGTACTGAAGGCAGAGTTGATCTGCCCACTCTCTACAAACTCTTATGTTAAAAAAAAAAAGTTGGAGGGACTGGGTCTGTTTTTACTTGAAAATTCTTGTGTACATTAATTGAAATATTGTATATGAATGACCAGTATCAGAGCATTGTATTCAGTGTTGAGTTTTGAAAGTAACATTACAAATTAGCCCATATCCAGAGGAAGGCCTTCAGGAGAGTAGATATATCTAGAAGCCTCGTTATGTGAGGAACTGGAGGTGTTTAATTCTTAGATTTTTTTAGAGGAAAAAAATGGAATATGCTGGTTTAAATAGCAGAAGTCAAGGGGAAGCAGATTTTGGTTTAATTTGATTTTTCAAATAGCTTTAATTTTCCCACTGCTGAATGTGTTTCCTCTGGAGAGAGTAAATCTCCTCACTGGAGTGAGAATAATCATGATTCCTGTCTGTTGGGCACTTAGTACTTGTGAGTGCTTTACATATATTAGTTTTAATTCTTATCACACCACAGTTATTCCTAGATAGTTATTCCTCTTTTACAAATAAGAAAACTGAGGTTCAAATTAAGTGTCCACACAGCTGCCTTACTGAGATTCAAACCTCTCTCTCTGTCTCCAAAGGCTATGTTTTTTCTCTGTGACACCAGAGGTATTGAAGCAGAATATCATCAATAATGTGACAGAAAAGTTTGTTGGTGGGCCAGCCTGGTGGCGCACTCGGTAGAGTGCGGTGCTTGGGAGTGTGGCAGCGCTCCCGCCGAGGGTTCGGATCCCATATAGAGACCGGTCCGCTCACTGGTTGAGCATGGTGCGGGCGCAACACCGAGGGTTGCGATCCTGTTGCCGGTCGCGGTACGGGCGCGACACCGAGGGTTGCGATCCTGTTGCCGGTCGCGGTACGGGCACGACACCGAGGGTTGCGATCCCGTTACCGGTCACGAAAAAAGACAAAAAGGAAAAAAAAAAAAAAAGAAAAGTTTGTTGGTTTGGGAACAGGTGACTTCTAGTAGGAGAAACATTGTTTATTAATGACCTACATGTTCGGGACTGTTGAAGGCATTTAATCTATGTTCTCAATTATATACAGTATCTTCTAAGACTGTTCCTGTTAATAACATCTAAGGTTTTGACTTTTCAACCTTCTTGGCTATTGTTCTTTACCACTCCCTCCTCCACCCTACACATCTCCTATAATTTAGGAATCAATGAGTCTGGTTTTTGTTGTCACAATGACTGTTCCCTTCTTCCTCAAGCTACCAGCATTTAGCAGGCAGAATCAGTAGATGTCCTGAAGTGCTAGAATAGACCCTGAACAGTAAAAAAATTGTCCCACCAAAAATGTCTATAGTGCCTCTGTTGAGAATTGCTCTACATTTATGGGGCACTGTGACAGTACAATTTCTAACTTCTTTTCTACTCCTAGGTCTTGACCAAGCCCTTTGTAATCCTCTTACATTTTCTAACCTGGTAGCGATAATCTGCCTATGTGGTTGTGAAGAAACACAAAACCAAGTGATATCAGTTTTAAGTAGGCAGATTGTACAGTGTGTCTTTGACTAGTCATTATTTCATCATTCAGGTATGCCACTTTTCTATCACTGGCTCATTAATTAACCACGAGGCATGGCAAAAGACTATAGGTATGCAGAAGTGACCTGTACTCTTCAAATTACAGTGGGAGGAATGGTCATCTGGATTTATCATTTTGCCTCCAGTTCTAGGTGAGATGTTTTAGTGGAAGGCAGTTGCTAGAGAACAGTCTAGAAAACAAATATTTTGTGAAAGGGAGGCTTAAGTAATTCCTTATTTTGATTTGCCTGGCAAAAGTTACTGAAAGTTCACTGTAGATTAATTTCTGCACTGGGTTGTCATGTAACAACAGTGGCTAAGAGCACAGTTGTGCTTTAAAGAGATTGCTTCCTATAATGAAGTTGAAACTCTATAATTTTTTCACAGTTTTCTCCTTAAAACCCAGCTATTCCGTATTATTCTAAACTTTAAGAATAACCGGCGTATGGGGGAGCTCAAGAATGTAGACATAATAGTGGAAGGGAGTTCTTACTAGGTTAATTTTGAGTTATTTCTCTGTAAACAAACCAATTTTACCTTTTTGTCTTTTTTACTGACCGGTAACGGGATCGCAACCCTCGGTGTCGTGCCCGTACCGGGGACCGGCAACGGGATCGCAACCCTCAGTGTTGCGCATGCACCACGCTCAGCTAGTGAGCGGGAACCGGTCTCCACATGGGATCCGAACCCTCGGCGGGAGCGCCTCCGCACTCCCAAGCGGCGCACTCTCCAGTGCGCCACCAGGCCAGCCCAGCAAACCAATTTTAGCTTAAGGCACTACTCGAGTTACAGTTGACCCTTGAAAATCCAAGTATTATTTTTGACTACCCAAAAACTTAATTACTGATAGCCTACTGTTGACTGGAAATCTTACCAATAACAAATAGTTGATTAACACATATTTTGTATGCTATATGTGTTATATACTGTATTTTTACAATAAAGTAAGGAAGAGAAAATACATGTATTGGAAAAAAAATTCACATATAAGTGGACCCACACAGTTCAAACCCATGTTGTTCAGGGTCAACTATATTGCCATGTTCAACACACTTACCTTTGTTATTATAGAAATTATGAAATTATTTCTTTTCATTTAGATAGGTTTAAATAGGCAAAGTATACTCAAAGAGGCAGGGATCTTAGAGAAAAGTGTGATTTATTAAGATACTTGAGACTGTTTAATTTTTTATTAAATAGATACAAAACAATATTTATAATATACACATAAGGTATAAAGAATAACATTAAATAAATACCTTTGTATCTATCATTCAAATACAGTTTTTTCTTGTAAAGACCTTTGGAAATTTGAAACCACCATGTATTTCTGTATCACACACATTGATTTTCTTTTTCCCCTCATTTCAGCATCTGAAAACAAATGGTTCAAAGGTTTGTTGTTGTTTCTGGAGTTTGCAAGATCTCTAGTACCAACACATAGGGATCAGGATGGTAGAGGAGGCTCTTTATCTTGAAAATAAATCTTTTATGTGGAAAGAAATTTTGGAAGGGAAGAAATTTTTGAGCAGGATCACTTTGATATGATTGCATTCACTTCTGAACATTTGCCAGTTGTCCATTTTCTCTCCCTTTGACATTTTACAGGACCAAACGTCCCGAACTTTTTTTATTCTATTACCTTAATATCTCTAGCTCTCTTGTTTAGGTGATACTGCTTTAATAACTGGTTGAGAATTCAGGTGTAAAACACCTTGGAGTCTTTGGCAGTTAGGAAGAATAAAGAGGTATAAAGGGAATGTTCAGAGAGGAACAATCCAGAATCTTCAATACTTTGAAATGATTCTGGACTTGATAGAATCTGGAATAATTATTAAGACGTTTAGACGATTTAAGTCAAATACAAAAATGTTTCAGCTGCTGAAAACATTTTGGGTGTAATTCATGTTGCATTTCAGAACAGAAAATATAATCCAGGCATTAGGAGCTGTATAAGAAAGAACTGGGGGTACCTGCCAATACACTTAAGCTAGTAGATTCTGGAATGTCCATTTTCCTGTGTTCAGATTTTTTAATAGAAATTATTTTTATATCAAGTTTCAGCACTCATTCATTCGTGTTATATTTTCTGATATGTATTTTTACGTTAGCTTGTTTCAATTTGTTAGGACTTTGGCTTCACTCAAGTAGTGATTGCTGGCCACTTAGTATAATGTTATAAATCCAATCCAAAAGAATTTTCAATGCTTTTCCAAGTAGGAGCAAAATATAAGTGTTATTAGATGTCACTGCTTTTGAAAATAGCATCACCTGGGCCGGCCCGTGGCTCACTCGGGAGAGTGTGGTGCTGATAACACCAAGGCCCCGGGTTCGGATCCCATATAGGGATGGCTGGTTAGCTCACTGGGTGAGCGTGGTGCTGACAACACCAAGTCAAGGGTTAAGATCCCCTTACCGGTCATCTTTTAAAAAAAAAAAGAAAATAGCATCACCAGTGGTAATCATGTCAATTCAGATCTATGCTTTTCACTGTCTAAACAAGGTCATGCTATCCTAGTGTCCATTAAAATTATGAGTTATTATTCAGGGATACCAGATGGTAAAATAAAGCTGTCCTCTTTGAAAGTATTTAGAATATTTTTCTCTTCAAATTGGTTGATACAGGAAAAGGATGAATCACTAGATTATAGTATAAAATCCATTCAGAATGCTTATTTTGTTTTAAACAGGTTTTAATTACCATTTCTTTTAAATCAATTTAGTACGTCCAAGATCATGGTAGGAAACAACAACAAAAAACCAAATATAATACTAGGATGTCAAATTAATCAACAAACACGTTTGGAATTTCTGCTCTTTCCCAGGCATTATGCTAGGCATTAGCAAAGATGAATTCAATCTCAAGAAATTGACAAGCTAGTAGTATATGTCAATTAAGAGAATAGAAACTAAATACGAGAAATAGAAGTGGGGGCCGAGCCCGTGGCGCACTTGGGAGAGTGCGGCGCTGGGAGCGCAGCAGCGCTCCCGCTGCGGGTTCGGATCCTATATAGGGATGACCGGTGCGCTCACAGTGCTCACTGGCTGAGCGCGGTGCGGCCGGTCTCAAAAAAGGACAAAAAAGAAAAAAAAAAAAAAGGAATAGAAGTGGGTTGGAATAGTTAGGAAAGCCTTGTTGAAGGAACACGGACTTGAGCTTAAGCCCCTAGCATGGGTAATTTGGGTGACAGGAAAGGAAAGGCATTCCAGATAGACATTATTTCAATGATAATCCAAATTTAGTTTATTTAGTTGATAGGCATTTTTACCTATAACCAGTGTAAACTAAAAGTGACAGATTTCTTAATCATCAATTTTACTTGAAGAGAAGAAGGTAGAAAGACTTATAGAAACTGGCAGCTGTTTAACAAATACTTTAGTGGGTTTTTTTTTTTTTTTTTAAAGAAAACGTAATTTTATTAATATTTTTTACATTCTAGGATGTTGTTATGGAGCAGCTGGGAGGGAGGGGGAGAGGAGAAAGGGGAAGGAAATGGGATGGAAGAAGGAGGAAGGAGGAGGGACTGGATTGAGGCCTGTGGCACCCCCCTCATTCCCATAGAGGAAACTGGGGGGCTTCCAGCAGTGGCTTGGTCATTGCTGGGCTGGGTGCAGATGTCAGGGGGGTGTGGCAAAAGCCCTCACCCCCCACTGTCCCAGCTCGAGAACCCAGAGTCCTTCTTGCTGTGGCTTGGTGGTCGTCGCTGGGCTGGTTGCATGTGGGGGGGGGCGTGGCCAAGGCCCAAGGCCCCCCACCACCCCAGCTCAGATGAGCCTGGGGTGCATCCTGCAGTGGCTTGGTGGTCGTTGCTGGGCTAGCTGTGCATGTGGGTGGGGGCATGGCTGAGGCCCAAGGCCCCCACCCTCGGGATTGGTTATGGGTGTGGGGGGTATGGCTGAGGCCCCCAGAACTCCCCCCTTTCTGGTTTGATATGCCAGGGGACTTCTGGTCCTTCTAGGTGTTATAGGTGTTCTTTGGTGGAGTGAGACCTTTACTAGTTAATATGAAACTTCATCTCTGGTTGTCGGTACTTTGTTTTTTCTTTCATTTCTGTGTTGGATTATTTGCTGTTCCCATCATTTAACTCTACACTGGAAATAATTTGTTGTCCTTTGCTTACTTCTAAAATGGGGAACTTCCTGTGGGGACCAGTACTT